GTTCAAACCATCCTTATGGTCCAGTGCTTATCTTACAACACAGCCACCCTAGGACTCCATCCTAGGCATTAATAAGCTGAAATAAGACTGATGTTGGCCATTTTGAATCTGACAATCATAGGGTTTATTATAAGTTGAAGACAAAGAGCATCGCAGAAACAGTATTTCAAGAACTATCTTGAAGTAAAATGCGGTCTGTGATTGGATAATATGCAAGCCTACAAGGAAGACTAGTTAATGTGTCTATTAAACATGACTATACACAGGGAATCTTTCAATAAAAAAAGTCGAGGCTTGAATTTTTTCTTCAGCTCCCCCAGCTTGAGAAATGTTGACCGTGTTTTTCCTTTTTGGTTTTCTCATTACAGATCTTTGCACATTCTGTTGTAATATTTGGCTTTATCTTCTCGAGCTGATCTTTGAAGTTTTCTGTTCAGCTCTTGGACCTCCTCATTTCTTCCATTTGCTTTAGCAACTCTACACTGGAGAGCAAGTTTCAGCATCTCTTCTGACATCCATTTTGACCTTTCCCTTCTTTCTTGTCTTCTTAATGACTTTTTGCTTCTCTTCATGGATGATGTTCTTGAATTCATCCCACAACTCCTCTGGTCTTCAGAGTTTAGTGTTTGATGTATTAAATCAGTTCTTTAGATGATCTCTAAATTCAGGTGGGATATATTCAAGGTCATATTTTGTCTCTTGTGGACTTGTTTTCATTTTCTTCAGCTTCAGTTTGAATTTGCATAGTCTGTCCCTGGCCTTGTTTTCACTGATGATATGGAGCTTTTCCATCGTCTTTCCACAGATGTAGTCAATTTGATTTCTATGTATTCCATCTGGTGAGGTCCATTTATATTGTTGTCTCTTATACTGTATAAGAAGGTATATGAAATGAACAAATTATTGATTACTGAAAGATGCAGAAAGCATCAAGAGAAGATGGAAGGAATATACAGAGTCACTGTACCAAAAGGATATGGTTAATGTTCAACCGTTTCAAGAGGTATCATATGATCAAGAGCCAATGATACTGAAGGAAGAAGTCCAAGGTGTGTTGAAGGAATTGGCAAAGAACAAGGCACCAGGAATTGACGGAATAAAAACTTTCTTTCAAGAAAGTGAGGCGGCACAGGAGGCACACACACACTAATCTCTGATAAGAAATTTGGAAGACAATGATCTGGCTGACTGATTGGAAGAGATCCATACTTGTGCCCATTCCAAAGAGAGGTGACCCAACGGAATGTGGAAATCATTGGACAATCTCTTTGATATCCCATG